TAAATGTAAGATATTTTTACATGTTACAATTATTACATTTAAAAAAATTTATGTATAAAAAATTGTAGATGGAAATGTTGAATCTGTGTTAAATTGGCTATGATTGATTAGAGGGAATTCGGGGACGTTAGGTTAATGTGACATATTTGACAATTATTTTTTTTCTTGCCACATTTACTTGTCATGTTTTAGTCAGTTCCTGCTTGTTTCTTATATATATATATATATATATATATATAATAATAATAACCTCAGGACTATTCATACAGCGCCATCTAGACCCAAGTTAAGCTAGCTAAAGTTTGTGTTATGCGTACTAGATAACTGATACAAATACATAGATTTTTTTTTTCGTAAATACATACTAATTATACATAGAACCACCCAGACCGATACAAACAGTCATACTCATGAATACAAATGTTTGTGCCGTGCGAGGTACACCATCGGTAGTAAAGCGGTGTGCTAAACCGCTAGACCACCGAGGCTGTCATATATTACAATAAATAAATTAATAAACGACTAATTTTAGACAAGACGCAGTGCCATCTAGTTCTAAACTAGGCTGAGTGCTATACACTGAATAATTGACAGAAATATATATCTAAATACGTACATAGTATATATATAGAAAACACAAAAACCGATACATACAATCTAATTCCTGAATACAAATGTTTACGTCGTACGGGAACTGAACATGTGATCCGATATTAGAGGTTGGAGTAGGTAGAAGGTAGAGATAGGACTTTGTCTCCAAAAGAGTAAAATTTTTACTATTTCTCTCTACCTTTAAACTAATATATTTTATATTAACCTCCGATTAAAACACACGTTTTTTTTTATTCAACATTTTGTTCTATATTTTGTTATATCTTGATTTCTATCAAAAATGTAAAGCTATCCTTCGTTTACATGTGTAAGTGTGGTAATATATAATATTTTTGTCTTTATATTAGTGCACCGCCAGACTTATAATAGATAACGCCGCAAGGTATTAAGTCCGTTATATGTACACATTGGAGTAGGCGTGTTCTTTAGTGTAGACCGCGAATTGGGAAACGTTGTGTAGGACGCCCCGCAGCTAGGTGGAGCGACGACAAACGTAGGGTTGCGGGTAAAAACTAGATGAGAAGGGCTGAAGATCGTGCCCAGTGGCGTGCCTTGGGACAGGCTTATATCCAGCAGCGGACTGCAGTGGGCTGATGATGATGATGATGATGATGATGATGATTGTTGTATTAAAATATAGTAATTGAGGAATATATTTAATATGTATATGATAAATGTAATCAACAGCTAGATAAATAATAAATATGACGTTGGTCTATAAAAAGTATCTATTATACCACAATGATGATGTACACATTGTTTTTGTGCATTAAAGTTAAATAAATAAAAATGAAATAATAGTGTGGTATATTATTGTTATCAAACTGTCGCGTTTGCAACTTTATGATTATTAAACAAACAGGACTTATAATGAATGAATACAGGACTTAAAGTCTCTATCACGCGACTTAAGACTTAGAATTAAAAATGTCCACGAATTCCCGCCAAAAAATGTATTTAAGAAACAAAACGAATTATTAAATGTGTAATGATAAGTATATGTCGAGTTTTGATGTAAGTTTTAGTATTAGAATGATTGTGACTAACTGGTGTTGTTTAGAAAATCATTGCGCTGATTTCCCATACTTATTTTGAGTGCTGTTCAAAATATGTTGATTTTGAAATTTTATACAATTTTTGTTTCGTATATATTATTTTATAACTCGGTGCTAAGTTCCATCAGTCCAAGTACACAGTTTTGTGATTATTTTTGTATTAATAACCGGGTTAGTTTGTAATGGTATTTCAAGTCAAAAGTTAGTATGGTGGTAGTAATTTTTTTTATTTATTTAGGTCTGCAAACAGTAACACTTTTGTACATGTGTCTTTTTGTTAATTTTTTGCGACTGTGTCACACGCAATGTTTATTACTAATTACTATAATTATAATATGCTACCTCAGGTGAACTCATGTGTTGGTGATTATTTAAATTTACACTACTTTAGAAAACTAAAAATTTTTAAATACCAAAATGTGATACAGAAGTATGAAACTAAACCATATTCTCTGACGCATACAGTGGAAATTTAAAAGTAAACTATGAATTTTTACTTTTAAATTCGTCATTTATCCTAGCAGTTTTTTTTATGGTTAATGAGGATGCTCGCCTAACGGTGTATGCTGACGGGGCACCAGTAGAAAAGAATGGCATGAGGATGAAGTTTGGTTAGAGAATCGTGACGAATGCAGAAATGAACCTGTATAAACGGTTTTCAGGGCCTCTTCGAGGTCGACTCAACATCTTAAAAACTGATTAAAAAAATATTAACTATAAATTTACTTTTAATAATAATAATCTATACATATAAATAAAATTGGAGTGTCTGTTTGTAATATTGAAATAACCGTTTTTTACTACATGGATGTGAATATAAATACGGTATATATACCAAAATCCCACTTTTTAAGATTTTTGTCTGTCTGTCTGTCGTTCTGTTTGTTCCGGCTAATCTCTGAAACGGCTGAACTGATTTTAACGGGACTTTTTTGGCAGGATTGGAAAATTAGTTTTAGTTTCAGGAATACTATTACTACTAGCTTTTGGTTTTATGTACCATTCGATTACTGGCCTTGTGTTTTATAAATTTAATTTAAAACAAATTTTGTATACAAAAATCATATTTATTTAATTAATATGATAAATGTTATGATAAGTCCTATTATATTTGACCAATTGAAGTCTCTTGTTACATCAATTTGTTTGAAGTCAATTACTACTAAATATATATATATCTTTATATATTATAGAAAAAAAAACGATTGGATTTTTATATAGTTTATTTGAAATAGTAATTATGTTATACTTTAAAGACTTGAAAAGTTTTTTCTCTAGGATGTGACTGTTATATTCATAATTTTAGTTAATAAGTCAAATTTTGGATATCATTGTGTTCCCAATGCACGGAAACAGTACGAACCGGCGGCCGTAGATGAGAATAGTGTATCTGACAATTTTAATTTCGCAACACAGCCTATTTTATTACATTATTTGTTCAAGATATACATCCCTTTAAGGTATGAGATCATTTCTTTTGAATTGTCTTGTAAATTTATTATAGTAACCTTTTTTGTCGTTATTATCCAACAATTGATACGTCGATGTTTATAATGTATCGAATATTAAATCTTGAATAAATGTTCAATATATGTCCCTTTAAGATATGGAACTAACTTGTTTTCAATTATATACTGTTGTTTTGAATTGTATTGTAAATTTATTTAAGTGATTTTCCGTGTATCGGATCCAGTTTTAAATTACTTTTTTATCTCTATTATCAACGAATTATAAATAAATATCTACGTTATCGAATACTTGACATCGATGTCAAAACATCGATGAATATTATATCGGTCATCCCTAACGCGCGGTTTTTGAATATTTTAAAGTTGTAAGGGTCATTTGTAATGTCATTCTAATAAGAGAAATTGTGATGTCAGATACCAGTTTCTGTCGTACGGCCGTTATCATATATTAAAGTTTTGACATATACATGACAATGTTATATGTTGTTGCATGTTTAATGTAAACAAATATATGTGAAATAAAAAGAATTGTGCTGTTATTTATTATAAAAAAAATTGTCTTTGGACGGGGTTTTCGATGTTTTCTTAAACAAGAGTGAGATATTATTATAGTTAATCGGATTTTAACATGAATTTTATTATAAATGTATTTGCTCCAGTCAGCTCGTGACCACGGCTAGTGCAGCCGAGTCGAAACGTCTAGAAAGGACTTGGGACCTCGGGGTCCCATTGACACAGTAGCAACTCTGTGGGAAATTTACAAAGTAACCTTTATGTACAATGAAATTAATCGTGTTAAAACCCGTTTAACTATATTAATAATCTTTACTAAATGCGAAAGTTTATAAACAAGCAAGAGGGAGTTTAAATTAGGAAATAAAAAAGATTTTACAGTCGTTCGTGTCTGTACCCTCACCTATTTCAGCCAAGCAGCTTGCTTCGTAAGCTGTTTCGGTTGTAGGGTATATGGCAGTGAAATTACAGGGTATGTACCCTATAAACTTAATCCACAGGAATGACAACGCTTGACGTCTTCCACGAGGTTCATAAAAAAAAAAGATTTCCGTAGTGCTGTTCATGTACATAGGCAACGGTGACAATGTTTCGTGTGGGCCGTTAGCACGTACGTCATTCCTCTTTTTTAAACCAAAGACAATTTTTTTCGTCCCATCGCGAAAATGCAACACAGACGGTCGTTATTAATTTGTTATCTATTATTCTATAGTTTGAAAACCCTTTTGAATATCTTATTGGATATTATCATAGACTAACAGCTTTTTTTTGTCTGTGCTGTCATTTTGGCGACGGTTACGTCTATAGTTATAGGTTTGTTATTTTTTATTTCGTCTAACGACCGTCTATATTTGTCTAATGTGTTGCATTTTCTTTCTTTCCCGATCGCCGGATGATGCTGCTGCCTCCGACACATACACACATACAATTTTCATTAAAACATCAATGTACGACATTTTACACAAAAATTACAAACTTTCGTTAATATAATTTATTAAAAAATATATCATTTAACTAAAATGAAATCTGATCAATTTTTATAATTAAATGTAAAACATTTTCAATATTTTCACATAAATGATTTTGCAATTAAACTAACTATTGTTATTAAAAAATATGAACTTACAATGAACAATATACTTGCAAATGTAAACTACACAAACATACAATTACACGATAAAATTAAAAACAACACAATAAAATGAAAAATACACAACAAAATCAATAATGTTACACTACAAAATCAACATTTACACGTAAAAATTAATACCAATACAACAAAATTAAAAAATACACAACAAAATCAATAATGTTACACTACAAAATCAACAATTACACAACAAAACAACAGCTACTTTGGATCAGTGACGCCTGCGCCGACGGAAAATACATTTATGAGCACCGACCTATCGTTTGAAATGAGTTCCATCTACGCTGAAGATTTTGACAACTTTATGTATGACAATGTGAATTAAGTAAGTATTCATATAATAATAATAATAAATTCTCAGGACGATTCCACAGAGGCATCTGCTTCCTAATTAAGCAGAGCTTGCATTATAGGTACAACTGATATAAATATATATATATTTTTAAATACATACATAATATATATAGCAAACAATACCAAACTGATACGAACAATCATACTCATGAATACAAATATCTGCACCGTGCGAGGATCGAACCCGCTACCATCAGATTAAACCGCTAGACCATCGAGGCCGTCAAATGATATAGATGTACTGTGATATAGTGATGCAAATCAGCACGTTCGATAGTAGATTGTGCCAGTGTACGTTTTGTATAACGACACGTAGGTCACGCAGTACCTCATACATATAGTTTATGTATGTAATTAGTGTAAGCTAGAGTAATTCAAGATGTAACAGTTAATGTACAAGTTACACCCTACTGTGTGTGTTTACTCTCACCACCGCTCCTGTCATCACAGTACTATATCATTTGACGGCCTCGATTATATTTTATATATACTAATATTATAAAGCAGGAGAATTACGTAGCGCGATAATTACAGGAATTCAGGAATTACTTGTTCAAAATTCTCATTTAAAATTTCATTGAATGCAATATATCTCATTTACCGAGGAAGTTTAGATGTTTATTTAACTAATATAACAAAAGAGCAGACGATCCACCTGATGGTAAGTGGCAACCGTCGCGTCCTACACATTCATCCTATGCACTGTCGTTCTAAAGGACTTAAGATGTGACAAATTAAAGCACTTGGAGGCTGAATTACTTTAAATGAACAAAATAACATAAGGTGCACCCACACGGACGGTGGCTACCGACGTCTTTATAAATACCTCTGAAGAATATGAAGTAATGAGACTCTATTTTGTCTGCCTATATACTGAGTAGCAGATTCTGAACAAATCATCCTCAAGGATTGTGTTCAAAATAGAAATAATCTTTAGTCAAATAAACTTAATATAAGCAAATCTAAATGGCGATTTTTTTTTATTCTACATCTCATTAGAAACGTCAACAGCTCATCTCGGGAATGAGAGAGATACTTGCGTGTTGATTCAGAAAAGACATCTAGTTAACTATAACCATTATTACCTCTTTGTCTTGTTTATTGTATTATATATTTTTTTTTATCATTTTGTACATAATTGTATATGTAATTGTATTTTCTGTGAGAGGAACAATAAAGAGTTTCATTCATTCATTAAAAATTAATATACACTTGAATATTATTCACAGGAAACAAAGTTACATGTACTATATGTTTTACTTGATTTTTATTTTATTTTCAGGTTTGACACATTACCTGTAGATAAAGTAGGTATTCATTTATATTATTTTTAGTTTTTCGTAGTATACAGTTATATATACTTCAGTTGACATGAAAAGAGTAGCATAGCCTAATTTTTAATATTATATTATACCAAGTAGGTTATGGACAGTGACGTAACAATAGAATGGAATTGTGTACAAAATATCACGTGGTCGGGACCTAGAGGTCCCCTAATCAGATAGGCCGTAAGCACAGCAAATAAAACAAAATTTATTAATCAATTTAGGAGACTACAATGTGAAGCCTTTTTTAGATTAAGGGAAGACACCATCCCGTGAATCTGCCATAGGCTTCAGATAGTTACGCCACTAGTCTACCTTTAGTTTTTTCTGTTTAAAGAAATGGCGGGAATTACACTCTGTGAAATATGGCCTACTGTATTTAGATTTGAAATTCAAATGTCTTTATAAAATTATAAATAAATTTTTATGTGAGATTTTATACAGATGTATCATGAAATAAATAAATAACGCAGAAATTATATTGTAATATTTTATGTTTTATAAGAATTTGTAAAATAGTGCCATAGATAATTAAAAATTTACATTGAAATATCGCAGATTAATTTTTATTCAAACCTATTTGTTGTGCATAGTACACAGTAATTAACACTACGTGTTATAAGAGTTGTCCCCTTATGACTTTTTGATCAAAGTTGAAACTGTTTAACATGTATTATGGTCTGAAGAAGAGTTTTACATTGTTTTTAAGTGAGGGGACTTTGTGCAGGCGGATAAAACATTCGAAATGTATAAAATATTATAAATATGTACACAATATATAGACAATTTCGATTTATGATATTTCAAAGTAAATTTTTATAATTTCAAACTTTTATTACACTTGCTAACAATAAGATGTATGTCTGTTATATTGGAAATCTATTCAAAATAACTTTATATATAATTTTTTCTTGTAATGATATGGTCCCTTTATCGTACTACTGTTGGACATGAGACCCTCCTGTCTACATACTAAGTTAGTCTTATGTTTAAACTTTCTTTATATTGGGTTTTGAATTGGTAACTTTATTTTTTTTAAACCATAAATAAAAAGTACTTAAATACTTTTTGATAAGCAAGTGTCAATTCATTTATTTTCTGTACCTAAAGTTCTAAAAACTTAGATATATTTTTTACTAATCATACAGTAATTTGTGGTTTTTTTTTTAATATCTTAAGTATAACAATATTAAATAATAATTATTGTTAATATTGATAAATGGATTTATGAATCTTTATTTCTTATTATTAATTCATATAATCAGTAAAAATAATTATTATTGTGTTAGTTTAGATGAACCTACGCTTTATTATGTCCAGGAGATATTTGAATTTAGAATACTATCTTATTGTTTTTTATATTGCGTTTTATGGCTCTCGATACCATGTCCTTTTGAGTCCGCAGCTATTTTATTTATCTGTGCTATATAAAATCCCATTTAATTGGGATGAGTGCCATTTTTCCGAGTTTTTTTAATTAGCAGCATATATAACTACATATAATAAAATGCACTAATTGCACACCATATTTTAGTAATAATATTGTATTAGAGTTATTTACTACATTTGTATTGTAAACCTTATAAATATGTAACCAAAGTTGAATATTTTATATATTACACAACAGAATATATTTATAATAATGATACAACATACCTAATATTACATTTTGTCTTGTAATGTTGTAACATTAATATTATATCGTGTAAATTTTTATTAAAGCCGTCAAAATATAAGACAGGGTTCAAAAAATTACAGCATCCAGCATTTCCTACTGAATTTTTAAGGGAGAGGGATATGTCTGACCTATTTTTGCACATTTCAGACTAGCCCCCTGTGGTTAATTCCTGGTGAATTCAAAACAATGGGATCCATTCTATAAAAAATATTTATGTTTGCACATGTAATTAAACTAACAAAAGATTTTAGATTTGTGATAGAAGTGGCCTTGTGGTATTCGTAAAAGATAATTGTTTGTTCTACGTGATTATGGGTATAGACATATTCAGGGGAGGGGGGCATGTACCCTAACCCTTGTATCATAATTGTAAGTAAGCACAGTCGCCTCAAGATATATATTTTATAAAAATCACTTCGCTTAATAGCACAAATTCTGTATATAACCTATATAGAACATATTTACATGTACGCACTAAAATACTTACCCGATCCACTCTAATTCAACTGATATTACGACGGTCTGAGCCGAGGTCCCAATTCCTAGCGATGCTGATGTACTTGGTCGATGGAAAAACGACTTGTTTAGTATAAATAGTTTATTTTGTTAATATAATATTACGAATGTACAATATAGTTTTTTGACAATATATATTTTTCATCTTAAAGCGGCGATCGAGTGAGTAGTGATGTGCCAGTGTCACCAACAAACTCCTCCTCACAACACTATTACTAGATTGTGATGCCCAGACAACTTCTCAGTTGTGATAGTCTTGGTCCTGGTAGTCCTTTAGTGAGTAAGTCAGCTTCCATCGTTTTTGTGTCCATATATTTTACTTGGATCACTCCCTCTTTAACACTATCACGAATAAAGTGTAGTTTTAAATCGATATGTTTCGACTTCGATGTGATTATCGGATTCTCACTCAACTTTAGTGCAGCTTGGTTGTCATTAAATATTACAACAGTTTGTTGCGAGATGCCCAAGTCTTCAAATAGTCTTTTTAAGTAGATTGCCTCTTTAGCAGCTTCAGACAATGAGACATATTCAGCTTCGGCTGTTGAAAGTGCTACACACTTTTGTTTTCTTGATGACCAACTAATACATGAGCCAGCATATTTAAAGCAATATCCAGAAAATGATTTTCTGTCCATTTTATCTGCACCCCAGTCAGCATCTGCCAGTCCATATAAATTATTTGAGCCTTTCTTTTCAAATCTTAAACCAATAGTTTTTGTACCTTTCAAATATCTGAGAATTCTTTTTGCGCATTTAAAATGTTCTTCATCATAGCTATCATTGAATTGAGATAGATAACTTACGGAGTACATAATATCAGGTCTAGTAGCTACGGCGCAATACATCAGTGTACCAATCAAGTTTTGATACGGTAATTCTCGTTTTTTCTCTTTATTAGGTTTTAATGTCAAACCGGGTTCGATAGGTGTGACAGCAGCTTTACATTGTTCCATTTTGAATTTATTTAAAATAATATCTATGTATTTTTCTTGACATAATTTTATTGAATCTCCTTGGTAACTGATATCTATACCAATTAATCTATTTGGTTTACCTAAGTCTTTCAATTCAAATTTTGTGGCTAAAACATTTTTGATTGTGTTTAGCGTTTTTGAACATGAGTAAGCAATGAGTATGTCGTCTACATATATAGCAACTATGATTTTCACTCCTCCTTTCGCTAGTATGTAAACGCATGGATCTGCTTTCGATGGTTCAAAATGTAATGCTTTCAGTTCATTATCTAGTTTTATGAACCATTGTCTTCCAGATTGTTTTAACCCATATAGAGCTTTTTTAAGTAAACAAATCTTTTCATTATTATCAGATTTTAAATCTTCAAGCATTTTCTTAGCTTTATTGTATATTATCATGTCATTTTTATCTATTTCGTCTATCATAATTTCCATTAAATATTCTTCAAGACAGTCAGGAATTTTCATACTTATATTTTCATCTAATTCGCCATTTAAATAAGCAGTAGTGACGTCCATTTGATTAAGTTGTAATCCTTCTTGTACAGATAAACTTAGTACTGATCTAATTGAGCTTAATTTGGCAACTGGAGCAAATGTTTCATTATAGTCAATCCCTGGTCTTTGGGTAAAACCTCTCGCTACAAGTCTTGCCTTTTTTATTTCTGTATCATTAGGACACATTTTCTTTTTTAATATCATTTTATGATCAATGACTTTTGCGTCTTTTGCTTTTTTCATTATCTCCCATGTACCATTTTTTACATGAGCTCTGATTTCAGCTTTTATGGCGTCACGCCAATCCTCATTTTTTTCTTCTTCACATAGGTATGTCATTTCATATATATTTTCATTGAGTTCTTGTACATTATTCAGAACGTAATCATTATATCGCGATGGTAGTCTTCTCTGCCTACGCGATGTATGCATATTATCTTGATTAACTTGTGAAGTCTGATTGTTATCTGTTTCATTTCGCTCTTCATCACTTGTTAAGATCTCTATATTTGATTGTGTATGTTCATTAGGTATCTCTAATATTGGTGTGGAGCTGGTAGACGGTAAAACAGGTAAGTTTTTATTATTATTATTTATATTTTCCATTTCAATAATTATATTTTCATTTTTATTTTCAGGTAGGAGTTTTTCTTCGTTATTGAAGATATCAAAGTCATCACTTGTTTCACTTTCATAGTACATTTTATTTATGAATTTTACATCTCTACTAATATTTACTTCATTTTTATTTGGTATGTAAATTCTGTAGCCTCTTGAACTTTTAGCGTATCCAACAAATACTCCTTCAATTGCTTTCGGTGAGAACTTTCCCCTTCGTTTCTTTATCAGAACAAAAGCTTTTGTACCAAAAATGCGTAAATGATTTGCTGACGGTACTCGTCCCATCCATTTCATAAACGGTGTTTCTTGTTGTAAGGCTTTAGAAGGACTTCTATTTATAAGATAGTTCGCTGTGAAAATAGCTTCTGCCCATAACGAATTAGGAACTTTTGATGCTATAATCATGCAACGGGCTTTATCGAGTAGAGATCTATTTTTTCTTTCGCTTACTCCATTTTGTTGTGGCGTATATGGTGTCGAGAGTCGTCTCACGATGCCATTATCTTTTAAGAATTGTTCAAATTCTTTTCCACAATATTCTGTTCCGTTATCGGATTGTAATGATTTGATCTTTTTATTCCAAAAGTTTTCTACTTTATTTTTATATTCTTTAAATATTTCTAATACTTCATTTTTTTGTTTTAAGAAATATATGCAACAATATCTAGTATAATCATCAATAAATGTCACAAAGTATCTGGAACCAGCCAATGATTCATGTGGCATAGGCCCACAAACATCCGAGTGTATTATTTGTAGAGGTTCATTTGTTTTTATAGCTTCATGACTTTGGAATGGTAGCCTGGTCAGCTTTCCTTTTATACATATTTCACACGGGTCTAGTTTTCCATTTGTCAATTGTATACCTCTTATCAAATTTTCTTTGTGTAAAACTTTCATATCATTTTCATTTAAGTGACCTAGTTTCTGGTGCCACATAGCATTCTTTTCATTTTTTATTGCATAAGCTGTGTTATTTTTGTCACATTTTACATAATATAATCCATTATATTTTTCAGCAGTAAGTAGTATATCACCTTCATTGTTTTTTATTAATGCCTTTTTCTTTGTAAATAATACAGAATTACCTTTATCAGTGATCTTACTAACGGATATTAAGTTTTCAGATATATCAGGTACATATAATGTGTCAGCGAGATTGCATTTATCACCATCTACCTTAATTGTTACTTTTCCTTTACCTTTTACGTTAGCGGTGTGAAAGTTAGATGCCAACTTTAGCAATCCAGTTTCTGATGATAGGTTTGTAAATTTTTCTTTTTGATAGGTAATGTGTGATGTGCATCCACTGTCCAATACCCAAGAATCTGTATCAATGTTTTCTTTACAAAGTGATAAACATACATTTAATGTTTTTTCTGATTTTTTGTCTTTATTATAATTACTACTTTTATTATATTTATTGTACTTTTTCTTACTCCAGCAGCTTTCAGTGGAATGGCCCTGTTTGTTACAGTTTTCACATTTTATTTGTTTCAGATTTTTATTATTTCTGCTGTAAAATGCTCCATCGGATCTCTCTGGTTTGTTAACTTGTTTTCTAGCTTCACCTTCTTCGAGTATTTTTATTTTTAAGTCTTCCGGATTTGGTAATGTATCCCTAGATTCTATTGCAATTCTAAAGTTTTCATATGCACTAGGAAGGCTGTATAACATCATAATACTCAATAGTTCTGGATGTATTTTGACTTCCATATCGGCTAGTTTATCGACTATGTCTAGGAATTCATTCAAATGATCGCGAATATCGCTTTGAGAGTCCATTTTTTGTAAAACTAATTTTTTTAGGAGGGTTGCTTTTCTAGCGGGACCTGAACTTTGATAAGATGATTTCAGTTTATCCCAAATATCTTTTGATGTCTTACATGTTTTTATTTGTTTTAATTCTGATGGAGATATTAGTAATAATATTTCCGATTTTGCCATCATATCGGATTTTTGAAATGCTGCGATAGTTTGGGGACATGCATCTGTTTCTAGGGAAATTTGTCCACTAACATATTCCCATAAGTCGGCTTTTATAAGCACTGCTTGTGCCTGGAGACACCATGTATCATAATTGTTTTTATGTAATGGTTCGATTCTATACGTTGCCATTTTTTATATTATATGTTTCTATTTATTTCATAACTTTGTCGAATTTTCTAACCACGCTCTGCTACCATTTGATGTACTTGGTCGATGGAAAAACGACTTGTTTAGTATAAATAGTTTATTTTGTTAATATAATATTACGAATGTACAATATAGTTTTTTGACAATATATATTTTTCATCTTAAAGCGGCGATCGAGTGAGTAGTGATGTGCCAGTGTCACCAACAGATGCTCGTATTAAAGTCGTATCCGTCAGGCGGGAGTTCCATAAGTCCTTCCTCGGGTTTGGAGTGCCATCTGCACTCCCCTCCTTTGCTCTCAGCATTAAAAATAGTTCGATAAATTCTAAAATATTTGTATTATGATGTAAATGCAGTAACAGTAAGAGAAAACAAGAAGATCGAAGTAATATTACTTAACAGTTTAATGGTAAATATCATTCGGACTCAACCAGCCGAACGTATGCCCCCAAGTAGCGACCTACAATGGCCCACTTGGGAATCGTTTAATAGACTGCGAACCCAGATGGGCCGCTGCAGGTACAACTTGGTAAAATGGGGTGTCGCTTTAAGATAGGCTTGCGAATGCGCGCGCCATCCCAGATTAGACCCATCTATTCTCCTATCCTTTGTGCCCAACATCCTACACAAAGGAAGATCTAAAAAATGCGACAGAATGCGCAAAAGTCTTCGCAATATTCTGGGGAAAGTGCATTAAAGTTGCCACTGAAAAGAAAGATTTTACCAACGTGTTAGCGCTTTCTTTTCCTTCAAAATATTTTAATTAATTAGATGGTGCTGTCATAACGAATTATATATATAAATAACATCAAATTATATTTACATTGTGAGAGATTATTTCTGTGGAGCTGCATTATAATTTACAATGCTTGCTTTTTAAACAATACGCATTATTATCTTGTTTTTTCATTGAATATTGTTAAGATATCTTTAAAAGTACGAGCTTACAATTATTATATTACTACATGAATGAATATTTTTAAAACATTTCAAAATTAACACAGTAAAACAGCTTGCATATAGAAATGTATCTTATATTTGTACACATAAAGACTATTTTAACGAATTACATAGATATAGATAATAATATGTTTATATATGCTTGAGCACGCTATCACATAAATAAAATGAATCGGAAAAGATTGTAAAATAAGGTCGGAGTTTAATTTTTTAATACATTTTTGGCGGTAAATACTTGACTAATTGTAGTTTTTTATTCACATTAGAAAGGCAAAGGTACAAAGCAGTACAGCTTTATGTAACGTCAAAAAATAAAGTTATAGTTTATGGTTTTATTCACTCATTGATAGAAGAAAAATATGTATATCTTATGATAAGTTTCGTCATCGATATTTTAATATTGGTAGATCATGAATCTTAATACTTGACAGACAATAAAACTATTTTTTTTTATATTACGACCCATCTAAAAATAAACCTATGTTGCTCAGTTAAAATGTCAGCTAAAATGTTCTGTGAAAATAAAAAACAAACAATTTTATAGATCAATCTACATTTACTCGATGTTGCTGAACTTTGGTAATTGGTACTGGGATGTATGAGAGCAATGTAGTTGCTGAATATCATCAGATATAGGAATGACTATTATACCGGATACGGATATTATACTGATATGAAATTATTTCGGATTATCCGTTAGTTTCGGATATACAATTACGGATATTATTTTTTTAATGAATTTCAAAAATAAATTACAATTAGCTAATAAAATGGTTACATAACGTGTCTCAATTAGGCTCCGTCCCTATCCGATATTCTCCGAAACTTTTTTTTCGGATTCGTTTACGGTTAATATTTTTTTATATCGGATATCCGATAGTTTCGGTTACGGTTACGGACCTCCCTAACATCCCTGCTGAATATCTATTGTAAATACTTTGAATTATTGTACAATCTTATCTGATTTTTTATATTATTGTTTTAAAATAAAAGTGTGCTTTGTCAATTTTAAATCATCTTATGCGTCGAATCGTCAGTTTCTAAGTTATTTTAATATATTCCATCCATTTTTGTTTAAAAATGGACGCCATTTTGTAATTGGCTACTTAGTTTGTGGAATTAGCTACTTGCCGATGTTTTTCCACGAGACTACAGCATGGGGTTTTCAAGAAGGGTATATTAAGGTTTCTTAAGGGTCAGCAACGCGCACGTACACCCTTGTGTCTCAGGCGTCCATAGGCTACGGTAATAATTTACCATCATATGGGCGGTATGCTTGTTTGCCACAGAAGTAGTATAAAAAAAAATAGGCGAGAAAGTCACAGAATAACTAAAGCAATAGAAACCATGGACAATTAGCACTGTCATTTGATGCGTTAGAGACAACATGAACAAACTGTATTGAGCTTATTTGCCATTATAATAAGAGTGCTATTGCTTTAATCTTAGAGACAGATTTTTTTGTACAAACATACTTTGTATTTATTAATTCAGTATGGCGATTCGGCGCTACACAATGTGCTTGTACCATGTTAATGTTTATAATTATGTAGGTATAAATTGAAGTGAAATAAATATTGACTGTTAATTGTGTTTTTTATTTATTACGTAACTGGAATGATGAACTGACCACCCAATAAATGGACAGTAGTAAAGTAAGAGGTTGCTAGCTGTTTCTCAAGATGGTGGATATTTTTATGATTTATTGCATCAGATACACAAAAAACATACACTGAAGGTAGTGATATAAATATCTAACTCATCTCGAAATCTTTTAGAGAAGAAAGAATGGCAGAGTATAAAAGGTTATGGTATGAAAACAAAGACAATGTGTTAAATCACTTTTTTAATTTTTGATATATAAAAAATATAGTTTTTATACATCTATTAATAAACAAATTGTTATACAATTCACATATAATATGAATTTGTTTGAATGAAAACTAAGGCGTTTTCTTTTGCGTCGAAATATTTTAATTAATTAATATAGTGTTCTTACAATTTATATATAAATAAAATCAGATTATATTTAATTTTTGAAATATGAAGTCACGAAAACTGCACCAACATACTTGTATAATCCCAGTAGGATGGGAGGATTCCTAGATTTCATGCCTTTAAGATACATCCCCCCACCCCTGAAGGTAAAAGTTTTAAACCAACTATACTGTGTCCACTGTAGCAGGGTGCGGGTGACAGTTATAAATTACATTTAACAATTGCTACATTTAGGTTAATACAGTTATTAATTATTTAATATACAGCTGTAATACTAAGTGTTACCGTCGCTGGCAACCGTTCGCCGGTGTGCCCCGCTAAAGCAGATTTCAGTAACTACAACCGTGTGATTTGAGTAAATTAACCATCACAATATATTTATATTTAATAAATATTATTTATGATTATAAACTTAAAATAAATATTTAGTAAAGATTAAATCTAATTATAATTATGATATAAAACGTATGTTCTAGAAGTTTAATATAATCATGTTTATTATTGAGTACAAGATATAAGTTCTGATTTGACCATAACAGTCCCACCTACCTACTGACTTTAAAAAGAACCACCGTATTGTGTGCACAGACCAGTTCGGTTTAGATGCTCGAAATGAAGAATACATATAAGTGAAAGAAGAAATTAATAGTCTCCCGGTGCTGCTGCCGCCCCGTAATATAAGTCATAATTTGTAAATCGCGGCAACATTTAAGAGTGAAACGAAATATTAATGAAACTCACTCGCGCCATGCTACAGCGTTCATGGTATAAGGGTAACTTTGAAAAAATGATTTTTTTTCGCACTTACATTAACAATCTCCTTAGTTTATAATTAAAATCAACCTTATATAGTTTACAGAATATTATTTCTTTAATTTACAATTAATTTAGTAAGAATAGAATATAAAATTATTTATTCAAATAAACTTACATTGAAGCACTTTTGAATAGTTATCACTTATTTAATCTACCGCTCATTCGTAAAGCTGTCTCATCACAAGAACGAGCAAGAAACTTGCGTGTTGCTCTTTTAAATAATTTTATTGTAATTTACATTTTTAAGTTGTAATGTATATACAAAATATCAACTAGCACTAATTAATCATCAAAATAATAAAGACACAACCAACTGGTAACTAAATAAGAGTAAATCAGTCGTAGTGACTAGAGCAGACCGGTCCCTACAAGTAGCACGTTCACGAGTATGACGGATGAGCTAGTCATCACTGAACACGACCTACCAATTAACTAAGTAATAGGTAGTTAGTATTTAAAGTTGCCCTAATCGCTCATAATAGAAATTCTCTTCAATTAGGGCCCTCTTTCACCTATTAGAGGCCCTGGGCACATTAGATTAATCGGGCCCCTATGAAAAATAATTTTAAAAAGTTATGTGATGAGTGATGATAGGTCTTCAAGTTCTTGCTATACATTTATAAAAATAACAAAAACGAATAAATTGACCATAGTCGGTAAGCATTTGTTAAGACTGATTTTCAGGCGAGAGTAGAGTAGCTACCGGTTATCGTCTGGTAATGGAGTAGGGACTAGACTAGACTAGGGGGCCCCAATCCATCGCGGGAGGGGGGAAGGGGACTCTTAGTAATGTGGACTCATGACCCCATAACTAACAATATACTATGTCAGTTGACCTCCACGCGGTTCCCCCTGGAAATCATCGTGATAAATTCATGGCGAATTTACCATGGGCTAACTGACCTGACCTCATGCTCATCTTGTTATCCTCCACTGGTGCCCCGCCGGCGTAAACCGTTAGCGCAGGCGGGTGCACCATTCCACTATCATTCACAAAAAAAAATCCATCGCGAGACTCTGGGCACGAGCAGTGTCCACAGAGCCCAATGGGGCACTTCCCCACTGTTTCTTTCACCATTGGGTCTGTCTTTAATTTATATAAATAATATGGTACAACACTATAATTCAGTGTATGTCCAAAAGTTCTGCTTTCACAGAAACTGCCAATATCACAAATTGTGTTTACCCAATTCGTCATCGAAACTCGTTTGAGTCTCCGCCGAGTTGAAACTGAGTAACACGTCCGATTTAACTAGCGACCGTTCGGCCGTTTGGGTTTCAGTCGATGTGAGATTATTACTAGATGGACTAGACGAAATACTGTCAAACAATCTCAGAGGTTTCGGTGAGTCATGGCAGTAGCATGTCTGAGTCTCCTTAATGCACCAATCGAGCGGTTGAGTCTCTGTAATCGTTTCTTTATTTGATCTACTCAGACCAAACTCTAAAGGGAACGTCTGTGTTTGTATATCAGATAGTAATACAGTTTCAGAAAAAAACATGGACTCATCCTCACTAGTTTGCGATTTCAGTGATAGTAGATCTTCAAAAACTGTTTGAGTTGATATCTCATCAGTCTTTGTTTCGTAGACTTCACTCCTGCCTCCCAAACTCTGCCAAGACGGTAGAGCGACATCGTTTTTTATATTATCGCTTAATGTCTGTGTTGCAAATGACCGTTTAGGACTATCACAAATAAATTCAGGTAGTTTATCGCATTCAGTTTTACGTTTCTTCCCCTCGCCCTCAACTTCGGATTTTCTTTTATTCGCTTTGCGTCGTTCCTTATATTGCTTATGCAATTCTGGATGTCTCCTCATCAGGTGCACCAACAATTTCTCATTAGTATTATAGTGCACATCACATAATTGACACGAGAATGTCGTGTTACAAGTATTTACATGTCTGTAGAACTCAATGTCTGTTGAGAATCCAAGTTTACATGTCTCACAGTACTTTTTAATTGAATGCACTTTGTTATAATGTTGATTTAGAAATTTTCTACCTGAGAAGTATTTGTTTTTTTCTGAATTTGTCGCGTACGAGCATCCGTCTACGGTGCAATAATATTGTAAGTCTATGGTCAAAGAGTTAGTCAGTTTGTGAACTTTTGTTAAGTGGTAATATAAGTTGTTTTTTTTCGTAAACGTTTCTGGACATTTGTAAGGGCAAGGCAAATATATTTTGTCTTCGGTATTCGGGGCTGTTATCATAACAACCAATTTTTTATTATACTGTATACACTTTACTGTATTTCCTTCTTTTTGTTGTGATATATCTGTTTTAATATTTTTCTGTAATAAAAGGATACAAATATTAAAAGAAGTTTGGACTAATATTTTTATTAAAAAGTAAAAAAGTAAGTAAAGAGACTTTAAGTAGAACCAATAAATTAATATTTAATAATAAAAATTTATCATGAGTTAATGAAAACCACTGTATGTATCATGCTTAAGAATTTTGTTCTATTTTTATAAATATCTTTGCAGATCAATAACAAAAGTGAATCTTTAAAATTTTTTATACAGCCTCAATTGTTCAGCTGTTTAGCACACCACCTTACTTCCGATAGTCGCAGGTTCGATTCCTCGTATGGCACAAATATTTGTATTCATGAATATGATTGTTTGTATCAGTCTGGGTATTTAATATGTTTAAAAAAATCTATGTATTTGTATCAGTTATCTAGTACCCATAACACAAGCTTTAACTACCTTCACTTGGGTCTAGATGGCGCTGTGTGAATTGTCCTGAGATTATATATTTCTTTGATCCATATATTAGACTAGCTTTTGCCCGCGGCTTCGCTCGCGTTAATTTATTCCCTTAGGGGTGGAATTTATCAAAATCCTTTCTCAGGGAATGCCTACGTCATAGTAGCTTTAAGCATGCAAAGTCTCAGCCCGATAGGTTTAAAATTGACAAAGTTTCAAACAAACTTTCATCCCCTATTTTATACCCAATACTACCCATTAATCAAAATCCTTTCTTAGCGGATGCCTACGTCATAACATCTACCTGCATGCCAAATTTCAGGCCGATCCGTTCAGTGGTTTGGGCTGTGCGTTGATAGATCACTATATCAGTCACCTTTGAGTTATATATATATATAGATATTTGTTGTTTTTTATTCATCATCAGCAAATTAGATAATAACAGTTGAATATAAAAGTACTAATAGATATATAGATCCACTTGGCGTAGGATAGAGATGGAGAGTATCTCTATCCTACGCCAAGTGGAAGTTCCTATTCTTGGAAGAACCATTCCTGATGGTCACAATCCTCTGCCTTGAGGAATCGCCAAAGAAGAAGAAGAATAGGTACTAGATACCTTTACAATATTCTGTAGAACCACATTAGAATTTTGGCACTGCTCTCTAAACTTTCGACACGTCATCAGAATGCCTTCGCAGGCCGTACACAACAGTTTGGAGGAACCTTCTGCATTGTTCACCTAGAAGATAAATGTTTATGTTATTATTAAGTAGCTGTTACCTGCGAGTTAGCTGTACTTGAAGTAAAAGATAGTCTATGCCCATCCAGACTACCTTTTATAGTCTATGCCCATCTTTGTGATGCAATCTTTATATCAAATGTCCATAAGAGATGGAAAGGGTATTGTTAGTGATGTGGACTGATAACCCTATGGTATAGTAATCCTCATTCACACGGTTCACATCCATTCCATCCATCCATCACATATATCTTTATTCATGTAGTTCTATTACAGACTCTTATGGCATGTCAATTCTACCGTTAGTTCAAGTGCTTTCAAGCTAAGAATTGACGAAAAACTCTGCTCTCATTCTTTTTTAATGACATTGTACATTTTTTTTTATACCACTTTGGTGGCAAGCAAGCATACGGCCCATCTGATGGTAAACGGTTACCGTAGCCTATGGACGCCTGAAGCACCAGGGGTGTCACATATGCGTTGCCGACCTTTAAGAAACCTTAATATACCCTTCTTGGAAAACCCCATGCTGTAGTCTTTCGAAAAAACCTCGGCAGGTAGTTAATTCCACAATCTAAGTGTACGCGGGAGGAAGCTCCTCTGAAACCGCACTGTCCAAGACCACTTAGGTTCCAGCATGTGGGGATGAATTCCCTGTCGATGGCAAGCGGTGCGATGGTAAACGGTAGCCGTAGGCATCATGTCAATCAATTCATTAGAACACAGTCCATTGTATATTCGGTAGAACACACAAAGCGATGCGAAGTCTCGCCTCAAACTAAGTGGTTCGATACCGTTTGAGAGATTGGGATCATCAACATGTTTATAATAATACAGATACATTCTTAAAATCAAATGGAGGAGAATAGAGTGACCACCAGCAGTTGCACCTGGAACCCATTGTGGTAAATTGCCATTTGCCAAGATGGGCCAACTGATGACTTCATGGTTACATTATAGTACTACACTGGTCACTCCATTATTATCGACAAAAAAAATAAAAACAAGATCTGTCCAGCCGTTTAGTATAATAAATATATGGTGATAGATTGTATAATGAGCATAGACATCCCATATTTATAGCTCATTTATTACATAATTTTTTTTTTATGTTCCTTGTATATCTGCAATCAGATTGGTTGGTAAATTACTATGTAAATCTACAGTTCAGTGAGTGCACGACGTTTTATTTAATAAATGCCTCTGGTGCTTTGGTTAGATTTCAAGACCCGGAGTACACTTTATGCAACTCCAGTATATGTTTCCTTTTCAGGCGTTTTGGGGGGTTGTTAATGAGTAACCTCTGGGCTAGCTCATTAGGGTAGACACTCAGCCGAGCCTTGTATTTTAAGCTTGTGCTAGCAACCTCCTCTTGTACTGTAGGTAAATTCGAGAAATTATGGATCTCCGAGTTGGTTATAAACCATGGTGCCTTAAGAATGGTCTTCAAGATGACGTTCTGGGACCGTTGGAGAATTTCAATGTTGGAGCTACTAGCACTTCCCCACAGTTGTATGCCATAGGTCCATATTGGTTTGATGGCTACCTTATAGACAAGTAATTTATTCTCTACTGAGAGGTTAGAGTTTCTACCCAAGAGCCAATACAATAAAATTTAAAAATTAAAAAAATACCTGTATATTTGTGAATTTGTAGAAATCTTCAGCAAAATCCCAATGGATCATATTTTTCATTTCTCCAGAATTAGCCAGGCATCCACGGCATACTAACGCATACTCATCGAGTGGTTTAATTAGCTCTGTATAGGGCGCACCCATTATATTATTATTATAAATTATTTAATAAATAATTATTGAAATATATTCTAAAAGTATTTATTGTTTTGATTTCAGATATTTTTTGCAGTGGTTTTTAATTGACATAACAGTTTTGACATTGACAGTTTCAAGTTTATATTTTTTTAATGCAAAGGTCATGGGTTTCCATTTCTTGGTGGCCGTAATAAAATAATATAACAAAGTAAGATTTATATAAAAAAAGGAAACAATATACATAATAAAAATCTAAACGATATATTCCTTTAAATTTACAAATGATAAATATCAGTAAGTTAAAAGAATGTTTTTCTTGGTTTCCAGATGCCATTAAATATTTGAAACGAAGAATTAACAAATCCGTCACTTTGGCAACAATTTTGGTTTAGCTAAATTTACAAGAGAATAATAGTCGATTAAATTTATAAAGGTAAAACAGTTTATTATGGTTTGCATTTTTAGTAAGCATAAATAAATAAAAACACCGGTATTTTGATCACGGTGAAGTTGTAGATGTTGAAGTTGTGATACGTTACCGCGCGAATTTCCGATTGGTCGCCATTTGCGCCACGATAGCTGGCCAGGAAACTTGTACAAAAAAGAGGTTATTTGTGTTAATTTAATTGATAATTGTGCCTAAAAACGTAATAAAACAATTTCAAAAACAGCGAAATACGTATCGATGTAGAAATAGCGCGAAAAGTGCGTTATATAAGTGAGTACATTACTTATTCAATGCTTTACACTTCAATTCCTTGATACACGTGTTAAAATTGTTTAGGAATTTTATCGGAAATAATTAGTTTTATGCGAGTCTGCAGTGCAATTTTGCCTCCAATTTGTGCCTAGTAACGCCATTGACAAATAGAAACATTGTCATAGCGTCAAAACTCGGTCAGTTATTATTATTTTTAATTCTAGGCGATCTATTTTGGGAGCTCTCGACGTTGCACAATGATATTACTGTAGATTTATTTACAATCGTTTGATTTATTGTCTGCATTCAGTGTACTTCGTCACAAAAAAATGTACACAGTATATAAATGTTTTGACAATAAAGTAGTTGATAGTAATATTTTTGTAGTGGATAGATTAGTTGAGTAAATAAGTAATTTATGTGGTTGTGGTATTTGTTTCGTCATTACATTTAAATGATAATAGACATTCCATGAAAGTTAAAATTTATATTTAGGCATAGGAAATAGACACATAATTCCATAATAATGGAACTTATATTGGCCACAGAGTATTAATACTGATGGTCTAGCTAAACTGTAATAAAATATCAGGAAAAGAATATAATGATTTCACTGCTGTATCTCTTCTCTTCTTTGATATTGATATGCAGCTTGTAAAGCAAGCTGCTTGGTGGCAGAGTGCTGTTGTCAACAATTCAAAATATCTTTAGTCATGTAGGTAGGTAATAACTTTATTCATCATCCAATAAAAAACACGCATGATTTGGCAAACACCAATTTAACCCTTCGAACGTTTTGACACAGATCTGTGCACCACTCTTAAACCATATTGTGTTGTCACAGATCTGTGTCTGCAAAACTATTTTTTAACAAATTTTATCCTTATTTAAAAGAAAATAAGACTGAAATGCATTTGAAAAAATACAGCTGGTGCGCCATACCCCCTCTTCACATTCGATCGCTGAGACAGACGACAGACATTCGAAAGGTTAAATTTCAATTTTACAAAAAATGTTAAATTTCATTGTTGCAGTTTATGTAGAACAATTCATCATGATAATAATTATAATCTCAGGACAATTCACACAGCGCCATCTAGACTCAAGTTAAGCTAGTTAAAGCTTGTGTTATGGGTACTAGATAACTGATACAAATACTAGATAAAAAAAAATGAAACATATTTTCTATGGAAAACACCCAGACCGATACAAACAATCATACTCATGAATACAAATGTTTGTGCCATGCGAGCAATTGAACCCGCGACCATTGGTCATAAAGCGGTGCTAGACCGCTAGACCACCGAGGACTCAGACCATGAGACTTTAAACATGTAAATAAATCATCAGTTCAAGTTACAAACACTGATTAGATTATTTGCTTTTACAATAGCATATGCATTTGGTCATTCTATTCACCCAAATTTGAATTTGAACTAATCTGTATTGTTGTAAACATATACAAAGTTTATTTGAAAAGAACACAAGCTGAGTTTCTTGTCAGTTCTCATCTCGAAAGCACTCCAAACTGATGGTAGATTTGACATCATAAGACTATAATAGAGCTGCAATGGCTGTATGGGTTTACACATTTTGCCTTTCCTGTAAGGATAAATAAAACAAAATAAAAAATAAACCTACATAAATAAAGATATTTTGATTTTGTGTGAAAGATGATATGTATATGAAAGTAAGCTCAGATATGCCGGCCGATACAGATCAGTGGAAGAAATGACATACTGCGATGACCACAGATAATGGGATAAAAGAAAGGCAATGATGAATCTGTGGTCTGTCATAAGACTGTACACTGATGTGTTGAGTATTGCTTGATTTAGCTATATAGCTATATGCCTTTCTATATTAGATTTCTACTCTTCAGTCTCCTGACAGTGCGAGAAATCTGTGAGAGCTGTAATCTTGACAAATGCATTTTTTCTGTTCCAGCCGCCGAGAAGCACAGCAATGAACATAGATACTGAAACCAAAAACAATTATAACCTTATGAGAAACGTGCCTGAATCTTTAAAAACATTTGTCAAACAAATTTGAAAAGAGAACATAATTACTACAGCCCAGGAGACATTCAATAATATAAATTTTTAAAGCCAGTATTTTTTTTTCTAATATTTAAAATATACTTTTTAAAATTATTAAGTGTATGGAGTACTGATTGGACATTGTTATAGAGTTGTGAGTTTAATAATGAAAATTCCGGATACAACAGCCAACGTTGGCGCTTACTATGGCAGTGAAGAGAATGGACAGTGGCAGGTGAGAACTATTGTTGTGTACATCATATAATTCCGATAATCACAGGTTCGATTCCTGGCACTATATCAATAATCCAATTCAAACATGGATCGAAGTTACGACGGCCTGTGCCTAGGGTCGAACCTCCTCTAGCGATGCTGTGAAGGATGGAGACCAAGATGACGAGCAAAAAGTAAAACGGCACCGTTGTAGTTGTAGAATATTTGTGAATTGAATTGACTTATGTCATATAAAAACAATATAATATTATAAAAAATATAGACAATAAAAAAGGTATATAAAATATAGTAGTTTCCAACATATGCCCTCACACTATATCAATAATCCAATTCAAACGGGGATCGAAGTTACGACGGCCTGACCCGTTCGAAACCCTGCGGTCCTCAGACTAAAGTCGTATCCGTCAGGCGGGAGTTGGCCTACAGCCAGCCGCTCCATAAGTCCTTCCTTTGGCTTGCAGTGTCATCTGCACTCGCCCCCCTATCGTGGGATGAAGCTGGAAAGGCCAGCTGCGGCCAACAGCATTAGAGTAATCTGAAATAAAAAAAAATCACATGGTACGCGATTCCAATATGAAATAATTTATTCACGTAGTTTAGTCAGTAGGTTTTTGTATATTAAGTAATTCGAGAGATGTTCGTTAAGTAGATTTAAAAAATAACTACATCAATGGCTCCTATAAAAATGCTGTTACATTGCGAGAATTAACTTGACATTTAATATTTTGTATTTATAACTAGCTGTTCCCGCGACTTCGTCCGCGTGGAATTTTATTTTATTTTTCTAAAATAAAAGTAGCCTAAGTTACTCCCTATTACATCAGCTATCTGCCAAAAAAGTCCCGTCAACATCGGTCCAACCATTTCAGAGATTACCCGGAACATACAGATAGACAGACAAAAATTGTAAAAAATATTATTTTGGTGTATATACCGTATTTATATTTATATGCATGTAGTAAAATACAGTTATTTCAATATTACAAACAGACACTCCAATTTTACGGTTACGCTAACGGTTTACGCTGGCGGGGCACCAGTGGAGGATAATAAGATGAACATGAAGTCAAATCAGTTAGCCCATCGTGACAAATGCTCCAGGAATTTATAATGATGGTTTCCAGGGGAAATCAACCTAACATGGTACATTGCTAGCAATAAGATCATCAGTCCACATTACTAACAATCCCCTTTCCCCCCGAGAATTGGCTTAACATTTAATAATGTAATTTATTTGGAAATCACTAAGAATTATAATTTGCATACCTCCTGAATATGAGGCAAATATTTGTACTTAACACATGTACCATATATACTGTAAATATTCAAGCAAATAGAATAGAATAGAATAGAAAATCATTAATTCAAATAAACTTAATTTAAGCACTTTTGAATAGTCAACATTTTTTTTAATCTACCGCTTATTCGGAAATCTGTCTCATCACAAGAAGAATAAGCAAGAAACTTGTGTGTTGCTCTTTTAAATAATCATTGTAAGTTCACATTTACAAGTCGAAACGTGTGAATACAAACTACCAACCAGCACTAATTTATTTAGTCTCAAATATAAAAACACAATAAGAATAAATCAGTCGTAGTGATAAGAGCAGACTAGTCCCTACAAGCAGCACTCGTTCACGAGTATGACGGATGAGTTAAAAATAAAATTATAATATCTATATCTCCTAAGAGATAAGAGATAGATCTCTTATCTCACGCACGCAGATGTGCTTGCAGAATGCTTCTCAATACATTTATGAAAATATCATCTATGCCAGAAGGAATATAGACAGTTTCAAAACAGTTAGTGATTGCACTAATAAAAGCTTACGTAACAATAACAAACTGATTTTATCTAAATATCGTTTAATTAAAGTTAGTAATTCGTTTTATGGCAATTGCGTAAGGTTTTACAACAAAATACCAGTCTGTTATAAATTTGCCTGATAAAAGATTTAAATGTCAAATAAAACAGTTCCTTTACAAAAAAGCTTACTATAAAATAGAAGAATACGTTAACGATAATAATGTTTTTATAGAAAAACTTAAAAGCCATAGCACTGACAATATTATCTGATTACACTAATAATGAGTGCGTAGCGACTTCTATGTTGATTATCGCATGCTTCTTACTTGTTATACTGTAATTATATAAAATAAAACATCTATTCAAAAGAGCAACACACAAGTTTCTTGCTCATTCTTCTTGTGATGAGTCTGCGTTCCGAATGAGTGGTAGAATCAAAATATGACTATTCAAAAGTGCTTGTAATGAGTTTATTTGAATAAAGATTATTTCTATTTCTATCTTTCTTAACATTTTTTTCACCTACCCTTCACATGTTTCAGCCAAACGGCGTGATCATCGACAGTGGTGTGGGTGGCGGTGTGGTCGGCAGCGGTGACGCTGGTATCCACCGTCCACCGGTATACCCAGTCCATCTACCACGCGGGCACATACCAGGTAAGAATCATCATAATCAGTCGTTGACACTTTGCTGAGCGAATTGCTACTTCATTATCTAGACTAGTGTTTCCCAACGTTGGGCTCACGCCCCACAGGGGGACAATTTGATTGTTAAGAGAGCCTCAGAGGGGGATATTTTGATTGTTAAGAGCCCCCCAAAGGGGGACAATTTGATTGTAAAGAGGGTCCCACAGGGGGACAATTTGATTGTTAAGAGGGCCCACAGGGGACAATTTGATTGTTAAGAGGGCCCCACAGGGGGACAATTTGATTGTTAAGAGGGCCCCACAGGGGGACAATTTGATTGTTAAGAGGGCCCCACAGGGGGACAATTTGATTGTAAAGAGGGCCCCACAGGGCGACAATTTGATTGTAAAGAGGGCCCCACAGGGCGACAATTTGATTGTAAAGAGGGCCCCACAGGGGGACAATTTGATTGTTAAGAGGGCCCATTGTTAAGTTCATTAACAATTTTCTAGTGATTTCTGCATAAAACCTAACATTCCGTTTCTTAAGTGAACTATTTTTTTTATGTTATTATTTGATCTAGACCAGAGGTTTCCAAACTTTTTTGTGTCGTAGACTCCTTGCCATATTTTTCGGTTTTGGGTAGACACCCATTCCTACCTGGTATTGAAATTTGTAAATTTCTAACTGTAGTAAAGTTTAGTTTTAAAAACATAAAGTAAAAACAACAAGATGCCTGTTGTCGTAGACCCCTTGCAGTTTCATAGACCCCTGGGGGTCGTTATAGACCACTTTCACTGACACTGGAATCACTGATCTAGACTAACTGTGTACGAAATTACATTTAAATCGGTTTAGTAGTTATGGCGTGAAAGCGCGACAGACAGACGAGTTACTTTCGCATTTATAATATTAGTAAGGACTTTCTGTGCGTTGTAGGGTACGTAATGGCCTGCGTACTATTTCTTTTATACAAGCATACGGCCCATCTGATGGTAAACGGATACCGTAGCCTATGGACGAATGAAACACTAGAGATGTCATGCCGACATAAAAAACTTTAATATTCGTCTTGAAAAACCCCATGCTGTAGTGTCTAGAGAAAACCTCGGCAGGTAGTTCATTCCACAATATAAGTGTACGAGGGAGGAAGCTCCTCTGAAACCACAAGGTAACATCCCCCACGCCTTAAAAAAATGTGATGATTTATTGTCTGTGTGTTGTAGGGTATGTAATGGCCGGTGCGTACTACCCCCCAGCTCCGTACGCCCCCGTTCCACCCCCACAGGACGACTTCGCGGACTATATGTGGATGGAGAACGAAGAAGAATTCGATAAACAGGTATGTGTTTTTTATCTTACTGGCCAACAATTTGATGACCTACTTGATGGTAAGTGGTAACCGGCGTCTAAGACCTACATATTGTTGATTAAATAAGAAACATTTTCAAAATTAGAAGCTAGAATTGCCTTCTTTCATATAAGACAATTAAATCAACCACGCCGTCTTAATCACTATTTAAATACTTTTAAAATTATATACAATACATCTGTGTAAATATAAAAATAATTTAAATAATAACAAGAACAATTTGATGACCTACTTGATGGTCTAAGATATCGTCGATTAAATAGGAAAATGACATTTTCAATATTTCTAATATTGAAAATGTCATGCTAGAATTGCCTCATTTTATATAAGTCAATTAAATTAACCACGCCGTCTTTAATCATTATCTAAATACTTTTAAAATGATATATAATACTTCTGTGTAAATTTGAAACATGAAAGGAAAAAATATGCTCCGCCCGGGTGTACATGTTTTTAAAATCACTAGTATCCTGACGACTTAGGCGTAATGCCGGTTAGTCAGGGAAAGAAACACCTCAATGCCTACAATATTCACAATTATCTATCTCTTATTTGTTTTTATAATAATATCAACACTTTCGCTCCAAAACTCCCGCTGCCTCCGTTCAATCGTCCGTCATCCACTTGTCAATGTCACATAGATTACTTTGGCTCTGGCCTCTGACGTTCCGTTTCAGGTTACATGATTATTGACTTTACCATTTTTAATTAATGGTGCGTCACACGATAGTTAACAGTCGGCCATCCTGCAATAGTGTCTGGCCCAGACACATAGGTAACTGATGAGCGTAGTCATGCTTATCAAAGGATATAGTGTCTACAGGATCATATAACAAATACTTAACTAAATAAACTAAAGATACACATTACTTTCATAACATTGACTATCTTAGTATACTGTCAAAGGTTTACAATCTAAAATCAATACTAACAGAGCTAAGTTTCGGCATGCATTCAGAATGCACAAAATATAACATAACATATATTAATTTACATAATCCAAATCACCCAAAAACATGAACAACCTTTTAGAGTAACAAACAATTATTTGGCGGTGATTGACTTCTATGAGTCAGACTGTAACATATCACCATCACAATGTAAGTTTCCGATCTTATGAACATTGCATTTTTTTTTATACCTCCAAAATAGAACTTGACATTTCTCATCATGAATATTTTAACGGATAAATTTAACATATCACATTACAAAAGGTAAAACTTAATTACCTACATATATAGAGAAAAAAATATAAAGAGAAAGTATTATTCTCGTGACATAAAATTAGAACAAAATCGCTGCCTGCCTTCACCTAACCAATAGAAAATAACAGGTCAATATTATTCAAGTGGTTCTAATACCCTGAATACTACTACTACTATTTTACTTCGACGATACTCTTGATTTACCAGAGAATTATTTTAATATAACATAATTCATTGAATTTCAGTTATGATTTACTTAACAATACCATCAGCTCGCTGGTCAAGTAATCTATTGCACCCTTTGAACCCTGTACATTTAGGGAACTATAAATGATTGTAGATACTGATATCAATTTTCTTTACAACACCAGTTTAACATAAACAAAAACCCACTGTTCCAGATTAATGTGAAATAGAAATAATCTTTATTCAAACAAACTTAATATAAGCACTTTTGAGCAGTCAAGATTTTTGAATCTATCGCTTATTCGGAACGCAGATTTATCACAAGAAGAATAAACAAGAAACCTGTGTGTTGCTCTTTTAAATAAATATTGATTTACTTATATTTAATTAACAACAAGGATTAGGCGTGCGGCAATCAACATAAAAACCGCTACGCACTTAATCTCCGTTCAATCAGACAACATTGACAGCGCTATGAATTTCAAGTTAGATATTTTCTAAAAAAAAACACTGATTTATAAATGATGACATTTATAAATTTTTCAATTTTATAATAAGCTTTTTTTTTTTTTTACAAAGAAAATATTTTATGACACTTTTGATTTCTTTTTCTAGCAAATTGAGTACAGACTCTGGGAGTTTGTTGTAAAACCTTGCGCAATTTCCATAAAACGAATTACTAACTTTCGTCAAACGAACGTGAGTTTAGTAAGCCTACTATTCACTTTATATTTTATCGATGGTATTCGTAGCCACTTCGGCCATCCAACGTTATCGAAGGGCCTCATTCGATATTATCATAACAGTTAACATCGGGTAATATAATAAAATTAAAATCATATAAAATTTAGTTTGAGATACTTTACATACTTAAAATATGAAAGTTGCCACTGACAACTACACATTACATTTCAACATCATGACTTCAGTCTTTGTTATATTTTTCCGCCTTAAGTTGTATCACTTAATTTTTCACACCAGGTACTAGTCAGCATCTCTGCAAACACGGCTGCCTAGCTAATTAGTGAAATACCTGTTAAAACAAAACATTAAAAAAATGCCACCGCTTGCCCACTATGACTACGGTCTCAACAGATCTGGATTTTATTAGACTCAGCCACCGCTTGCCCGCACAAGGAGCTACGGCCTCAAACTGGTCAAATTCTCATTAGACTCAGCCACCGCTTGCCCACACAAGGAGCTACGGCCTCAAACTGGTCAGATTCTCATTAGACTCAGCCACTGCTTGCCGCCACAAGGAACTACGGCCTCCAACTGAAACACATCAAATATTTAACAACTGGTCATTTTCTCAATGAGGCATTCACCGCTTGCGCACGCAAGGAGTTACGGCCTCCAACTAGTCATATTCTTTATGGTACTATGCTATTTTTACTTCAGCCTCAAGTGCTCTACATTGCAACTCAACTATGGGTTATATGCACTCCCATCAAAATTTACTATTACTTTTTATTCTATTACATATCTTTAAGAACTGGATTTCCTGGTTCCATTTTACTATTTCTCCAACGCTTTAAAGGACTTTATAACATTTAATCATAAGTTAATTCAATTTAATTATGTACCAAATTCGAAGTATATATCTGGTTGATATATATCTAGTATCTACCAATTTCTGAACGAACATGCAATATATTACTACCACATACCCTACTCCTATTATTATCTACCAAATCTTGAGTAGCATCAACAAAAAGCGAGTCGTTCGTTGTACGTCGCATTGAGCACACGCGGATCCCCATTTTCTCCGTGAACTAACGTATACGGAACCATCAGCCGCGATCTCAGCGCAATCATCTCATCAGTATATCATCAAATCTAAATCACCATCATTTACCTTAAAATCCATAAATCGTATTCATAGTCATATGATTATTATATTAATCTCATAATTTCATCAAAGTATTGCAAATCATTTTTCATTGTCATATCAACCGCCCGTTCTATTAGCCATTTTGCTCATAATTCAGCTTGTCATCGATTGTAACTCATCATTGTATCACTAGCATTCCTTAATCTTTCAGATCTATTCGTTCATGTACAACTCTTCACCGCGTATATTTACCGACTATTTTCCATAGAGGTGTATCAAATTTTACCTTGTGATCGTCCTTACTACAATCTTGCAGTGTAACTATCTTGTACACCTCGAGCGCTTTATTCATAATATTTCTAAAGTGTCTGTATACGGTGTCTGGGTTCTATAAATTAGCACCTCTTCTAATTTCCCATTAATTACAACAGACACATAAAATCAATTCTGAAAGGATTAATTTCAATTTAAACTATTTAGTTAGTACAATAGTCAATCCGATTTCTCCAAAGGGCGTTCAGCCACACATACAAGTGCATATAGGTGCTCAGACTAATCTATGGAATCAAATGCCCAGCATTTGATTGCGTTGATCATTACTTATAAAAATGTTAACTTCCGTCGTCGTCAAAGACAACGCTTTAAATTTAATTCAATCTTATTTATCTGATCAATATCAACCAAATATTTGAAAACAACATCACCGTTATTATTATAAACTTCCAATATCTCTACACCTGTAATTTTGTACAATTCAACATTAAAACACCCTCACTTATTTAATACATCCGTTCTCGTATGCTATGCAAGTGACAACATCAATTCTTATATGTTGATGAGTTTACTATTAAAAGCCTTAGTTAACACTTTTATTTTACTTCAACTCAACAGTTATGTCAAAAGTGACAATGGTCTAAATACAACACATCCAATCTCATATTCCAGTCAATTGAGTCAACATGTATACCAACAATTCTTACATGCTCGTTAATTTAGCATTATACGCTTCGATTATACTCTTTTTTTTTTTCAACCAATTAAAATCTTAATAGATACAATATCTCAAGATTTAACAAAGGTTAACTAGAAATTAATAAAATTGGCAAAACCATCTACAACAGTAATTTATAACTGTAAACTGTAATCTATTGTTAACAATATTTAACTTTCTTATATCTTAACTTTCATTTATATCCTCTAGTAACTTTTCTTATATATTCCTGGGATTAAATTGACAGATATAGCCTTACTTCCACAACTTATATTGTCTCTCATTTTATTTGCATTGGATATAAAGGTCTCTTAAAACAGTTATAGGTTCAATAGGATCCTTTCAACTTAAATCTAGTATACCCATGTACACTTTTCAAAACTTTAATGCTCATACATTTAACAACAATCAATTGTCCTTTTGTTTTTGTTTTTCTTTTAACTACCTGTGCTTCTTAAATTTGTATTCACTATAATACCATTATAATTAAAGAACAATGGCTCAGCTCGCAAACATTTTCTCAACAAATAATTCTCTATAACATGTAAAACTTACAACTTAGACCATGCAGTATTTATTTTTCATTCTACATATATACTATTCATAAAGTAGTTTATTATCCATCAGTAAACCATATAAAAATCTCATAAATTACGCCAGTATCCATATTCATAAACCAGCTCGTCCATACTGACTATCCATGTCTCTCTCTATGGAAGTTTGCATCCAATCTTCTCCTGCTGTTTCCTTTTTTTTTCTTATGTCATCTGCTTATCTTTTTTTTCTGCTGTCCTACGTTTCTTTTGTCTGTCGTCTCTGCCATTTTCTTATATATATATATATGGCTTATAAATTTTTCATTTCATTATATGGCGTCCTACAATCCAATCAATCACAATACTATTTAAATGTTAAATAGGCATTACTATATGTATTTATACCTGTACATATGATACAATTTTCTTTTGAATCATTACTATTTATATATTTTTTTCTTCTATAAATTATACTGATACTGTGCTTGTGAATCACTGTTCATCCCAACGGATACCAACATCTCACTTTCAATCTAAGTTACATTTGCAGTGATTAACTTGTGTTCACAAGATATTGAGGATTTTTCCTATTTTTTTTTTTTTTTACTTATATATTCCTGTCATAGCTATACCGAAATCACCATGCACTGTCCTCTACAGTACAGTAGATTCACAGAAGATAATTGGAAGCTTGCCACAGTATAGAAATGCTATCTTCATAAAACCGACTAACTTCAGTCTCATCCTCTTTGGTAATAAAGTTATATTAAATAAAACAAACCACATGCTTATAAAGGCATAGCATAAAACACCAACAATCAGGAATTCTCATAAATATATAACGGTTGTATAGAATGGGAACGAATTTCCATGCATGGAATGTTATGCAGCCTATTAATAACCACATTACCAAGGTCATCAGCAAAGTTTTCTAGAATATCCATATCTCTTTACTTTCCTAACAATCTTGTCTGTCTGTGTCTCATAATTTTCTTCTATAATAATTTTAAAGCTTATGTATTTTGAATATCTTAACATTGCCTCCCACAGAGACTATTTAATAATAACTAATTAATATACAGAAACTTCATTAGTCAAATCATAAAATATTTTATAATCCTGTAGTATACAAATACATAAAAGGTAAGTTACATAAACCATTTAAAAATAGTATCCAATTTTCCTTTCTCCTCTTTTTCACCATATCCCAGTTTACATGTATTCTCTTAATTCTCTCCCATCTGTCCATACCTATATACAACAAAAGAGTGCTATGCACTCATTTATTTCCATCTTCCTGCCATAATATCTGAATTATAAAGTTTATTATCCAAATTTCACAATTCTAGACCACACTGTTTGACACAATCCATGTGCTAACTTCAAGATGAGTTCATTATTAACTCATGAATGCTTTAAATCAGTTATTATCATCTTCTGATATACATTTATTTATATTAATATTCAATAATATATTCTTATATTCTATTTTTTTTTTTATTATCTGTACTTCACAAATATATAATACAATTTGAATTTAAACAATTATGATTTCCTCCTTGGTTGACATTTCAATTCCAATACAGATTTAACAATGAATCTGTCCACTTTATAGTTTCTTAGTACTGTCATTCTACAAATGACACTAAATAATAAAACTCAATGGATAACTTAAGCTCAGATCCTTGCAGCAAATCTTCAGTTCATTAGCTTATGCACTACACAAGATTGGACAATATAGCAATACATTGTAATATATTACAATAGTCTATTTTCATTATTGTGATAACAATGGTCGTATGTTGTACATATTAATATTATAAAATCATGACATTTTGTGCAATTTACTGTATGGAGAGTTATAACTCATCAAAAGGCAAATACTCTCACTGTTGCGACTCAATATATATATCCAAACATTCTGTATGTACACAAATATTAACTTATTTCCAAAAACTTTTATTCATATTCATAACACTAATAGTAAATTTAAAGACAAGCTTGTTGCTCAAGTATTGTTTAGAAAATTCAACAGGTTTCTTGTACAATCAATAATACAATCAAGAGCCAACAACATTCATTTCTGGAGTTACCAAAAGCTTTTCTTTAGGTTAAAAGACAACTTCATAAATTATAAAACTGAACCATGTAAGAATAGTCTTACCTGTAATCTATCACTTTCTAACATGTCACATATTAATGTGGTGCTTATAAATTCCAACACTCACTTACTAAACATTGTCTCAAATGACAAATGTACATAGCTACAGGTACCTGCACAGGACCTTTAAGTACCTTTATTGATCAACAATAGCTGCTAAGGGCCATTCTAATGAATTTCAAGAGAAGCATCAAAGAAGTGAACCAATTGCTCAAACATATAATACATTCAATCTGAGCATACATATAATATATAATTCCAGCATAATATGACACCTTTGAGGAATTGGATATCATCTCTAGGTGCTTTTTCAACACATTAATAATCAATATCATATGATTATGATAACCTTGAGGATCCTAATAGATCTCAATTGAATTTTATACTAAATAATGATTAAATAAGGAACTATTAATAATAATAGTTTACAGTTATTCGGTTTTTTAACATTGGAGTTTACTACCAATTGTTAGCCATTGCTATATATATAAAATTCAAAACACAGCAAGAAATAAATATAATAATTGTACTATCAGAGTTAAGTACTATTTTCACTGAGAGCTTCACAGCTAATCATGAGATAGCATCTAAAATGTCTTTAATATCTAATATTATGAAATATAACATGTTATGTTGCTGGTATCAGTTTATGTCAACAATATACTGTGTCTATCTATATTAATATGCTTTATTAATTCATTAATAAACACATATCAAAGTATCAACCAATATAATATATATACATATGACAGTGTCTCAATTTGGGAATATAACCACCATCAAGACATATACCTGGACTATGCCTGTGATTGTCATTTATCTGAAATGGGATCATCAAACATATATGTGTACCTATGTAAAGAAATAATAACAATTCTTCAATTCAATTCACGTAGAACAAACACACAAAACTGAACAGTAAGTTTGACTAATTTACTGTGAATTAGCAACAAACTCAGCAATACCATTACACTGTTTATATGTATAACATGGTATGTGTTCTCATGTTCAACCTGTATGACAACATAGTTAATGTAACTGTTTCTAATCTGTTGATATCCTATCATACTCTATCATAGGCATTAATAACATAACAATAGTTACTCTGTATTTTAAACTAATTAGATAGCCATGTTGTTTTATACTTAATGTATTCATAATACTTCTTTCTTAGGTATATTGTATACCTCAATATCGTGCTACATGTCATGTCATTACTCTCGCAAGTTATCGTACATACTAAATCTATTTAATATGTAGAAAGCAATTCATCCAAAAGTTCAATAAAACAAGTGAGAAACTGCGTTTAATGGTATGCGTGTTATTAACGTAAATTCACTTACCACAACTTCTAGTCAGAATTACCTTACAGTCGAATTTGTAGGCGGGATTGGTACCGCTTCTGAATTTTTAAAATCACTAGTATCCTGACGACTTAGGCGTAATGCCGGTTAGTCAGGGAAAGAAACACCTCAATGCCTACAATATTCACAATTATCTATCTCTTATTTGTTTTTATAATAATATCAACACTTTCGCTCCAAAACTCCCGCTGCCTCCGTTCAATCGTCCGTCATCCACTTGTCAATGTCACATAGATTACTTTGGCTCTGGCCTCTGACGTTCCGTTTCAGGTTACATGATTATTGACTTTACCATTTTTAATTAATGGTGCGTCACACGATAGTTAACAATGTATTATACATGTAAACCTTTCTCTTGAACCACTATCTATTTAAAATAACAGCTTCAAAATCCGTTGCGTAGTTTTAATAATTAAAGCATACATAGGGACGGACAGACAGCGACAGCGACTTTATTTTATACTATGTAATGATTCAGAAATAATGTGTGGGTGTTTATTTAAAAAACATTGTTGCAAAATTCATAAAATTATGTATTACTCAATATAAGACAATATAATTAGGATGTCTGTGTGTTAGAAACTATTTTATATACCTTTTTTATTGTCTATATAATAAAAATATTATATTGTTTTTATATGACATAAGTCATTAATACACAATTATTTTAAGACTATACTGTATATATATGGTGCCGTTTTCTTTGCTCGTCGTCTTGGTCTCCATCCTTCACACTGTGTATTGCAGGTGATGCAACAATTAGAGGAGGAGGCTCTGATGGAGCAGTGTATAGAAGCGATGTTGGAGGATGAACAGAGAGAGAGGCACAGGCCAGTTGCCAACGGACACAACCACCACTATCCCACGTAAGTTTTTATTCTATACACATACATAATGTGTATTTGTATGTATTATGTTATATATGTATTTATATATACATACATAATGTATATACTAGCTGTCTGCATGGAATTTAACTTTATTTTTCTAAAATATAAATAGCCTAAGTTACTCCTTATTAAATCAGCTACCTGCCAAAAAAAGTCCCGTCAAAATCGGTCCAACCATTTCAGAGATTAGCCGGAAACAAACAAACAAAAATTGTTAAAAATGTTATTTTGGTGTATGTACCATATTTATATTCATATGCATGTAGTAGACAATGGTCATTCAATATTACAAGAATAGAATAGAATAGAATAGAAATCATTTATTCAAATAAACTTACATTGAAGCACTTTTGAATAGTCATAATATTTTTTTAATCTACCGCTCATTCGGTAAGCTGAGACAGCTCACAAGAAGAACGAGCAAGAAACTTGCGTGTTGCTCTTTTAAATAATTTTATTATTACATTACAAACAGACACTCCAATTTTATTTATATGTATAGATTATCCTCCTTTGTTAACATTATATGTAATTACTATATCTAATACAATGTATTTAAGTGCAATAAATAATATATAACTATTTATAGATTTATTTTGATTTGATTTTCTATCGTTTCAGAACAAGCAACGGTAGCACGTCGTTGTCGTTAGAAGAAACCGTATCAAGGTCGAAACTGAACCCACTCGCCGCTGAATTCGTACCTACGTTCACGAGGTCGCGACCCGCGTCCACCACCGCTACACCTGCAACCACAACAGGTAACAAAATATACAATAAGAATTATTAAGTATTCATTTATGTTTGAAAGCCTCGGTAGTTTGGTTATGGTTTACTTCCGATGATCGCGGGTTCGATTCCTCGCACGGTGTAAACATTTGTATTCATGGGTATGGTTGTTTGTATCGGTCTGGGTGTTTTCTATGTATAATATGTATGTATTTACGAATAGTGCCCCATTTCAATCACTTCCAACTCTACCAGGCCCCATCTAAACCTACAAAACTATTTTCTATGTTTATACCCGTCATACTCGTGAACGGGTGCTGCTTGTAGGGACTGGTCTTGTTCAGGTTGCGAACACTGTTTAAATTTTTTGTTTTTTACGATAGCATATGCTGGTGGTCACTCTATTCTCCCAAATTTGAACTTTAATGACTGTGTATTATTATAAACATGTTCCACTATTATTTGAAAAAAATACGAGCTGAGTTTCCTGTCAGTTCTTCTCATCTCGAAATCATTCCGAACTGACGGTAGATTTAACATATCATAAGAGTCTGTAATAGACCTACATGAATGCAGATATTTTTAACTTGAATTTGAGTTTATGTATAGTTTCTATATTATATATGTATGATAATGCAATGGTGCATCCACCTGCGGCAACGTATACGCTGGCGGGGCACCAGTGGAGGATCATAATATGAACATGAAGTCAAGTCAGTTATCACATCGTGGTCGTATCGTAAATATACCAGGATTGTATTTACTATGGTTTCCAGGAGTATCACGTGGATGGAGGTCAACCTAACATGGTACATTGTTAGCAATGGGCACCTAGTGTTCCATTACTCACAATCCCCTACCCCCCTACTCTCAGATTTGAACTCACGACCTTTTAGGTGAAAGTCTGGTTATTAACCACTAGGCCATAACAGTCAGTAATTACAAGTTTAATATATTCTTATTATGTTTTCAGAAGAAAAACGAGATAAAACAGAATCAGTAGAAATAAGTTCACCAGAGACGCACGCAACAGACGAATCTACAGACCAAATTGACAGTAAACATACAGAAACATCAACAGAAGATAGCGTCACGGAAAGAGAAGGTAGATAACGTTTTTTTTATTGTCATATAAATAATAATAATAAACATCATCTCAGGACAATTCACACAGCGCCATCTAGACCCAAGTTAAGTTAGCTAAAGCTTGTGTTATGGGTACTGGATAACTGATACAAATACATAGATATTTTTTCGTAAATATATACGTATTGTACATAGAAAACACCCAGACCGATACAAACAATCATACTCATGAATACAAATGTTTGTGCCGTGCGAGGAATCGAACCTGCGACCGTCGGAAGTAAAGCGGTGTGCTAAACAGCTAGACCACCGAAGCCGTCTAATATATATACTAATACATGTATACAATAAAATATATATACATATACTGTAGTATAAATATTCGTTAGTTACAGAAACACCAGAAACGCCCGAAGTGAGCGCCGCCGACGTACAAACAGACAAACGGAAAGATAGGAAAGACATAAAAAAAATTGAGACCAAGAAACCAGTGAAGCAAGAAGTGAAAAAGACTAAGCCCGTTATAGTGAAGGCGGAGACCAAAGTGCAGCCCAAGAAGAAGGAGGTGAAAGTTGTGAAGAGCGAAACAAAAGCTGAAGAGAAGTCTGCAAAGGTTGAGGAAGTGGTAACAGAGGTACAGGTTAGTAATATCTTCAGATCACTTATTGTATTCACCAGCCTTTTTAGTGCCAAATATATATATATTTATTTTATTGGGTGTTTGGACTATTGTCAGGTGCCTGGACCTGTAGCACTGCGACCTACATAGATCTATTGTGCTCGCCCTTTTTCAAAGTTCGCTACTTTTCTTAGCTCGGAATTGAAGGATATTCTTAGGAGCGATCTCCTCAGGATAGAGTGTAAACTTTCCAAAGGAGATATTTCGTTTATGCATGAGTGGGCTACAACCACATAGGATGTGTAGTGGCGTTTCCTCTTCAGTTTGGCAGTTTAGTGCCATGGCTCACCTTTTTAAATTCTTCTATATGATTGTTTGTATTACTCTGGGTGTTTTCTATGTATATTATGTATGTATTTAAAACTAGAGGGTGCGTGTGTGCGCGGGCCTCAAGAGGCCCGCGAGGCGTTGTCGCTGATTTTTTTTGTGAAGACGGTTTTCTTTTCGTTGTTAGAGTTGTCTGTTTTGATACGATTAGGTGACTTCCTATTGTAACAGTGAATTTCTGTTTCACGTGTACCATATATACCTGTGGCGAAACTTTGTATTGTAATGGTCACAATACAAAACCTAACCTAACCTACCTTTCTGTATACTATATTAGTCTGGGGTCAAAGTTTTTAATGTAGAGCTCATAATACGAAACCTACCTTTTTGTTTACTATATTATTCTGAGGCCATAATTTCTACTGTAAAGAATCGCAATACCAAACCTAACCTAACCTACCTTTCTGTATACTATATCAATTTCGGTTCACAGTTTCTGATGTAGAGATCATAATACGAAACCTAACCTAACCCACGTTTCTGTGTACCTTATTGATCTGTGGCCAATTTCCATATTCTCCTGTCTATAGACCTAACCTTATCTTACTTTTCAGTATACTAATAGTCTGAGGCAATAATTACTATTGAGTAGCAATCTAACCTAACCTACCTCTCTGTATATATTTTTGACCATAATTTCTATTGTAAAGGAAATAAAGAAAAACAAAACCGTCTAGGTTGCGTGTGGGTCGTTTTAGCTGATTTTTTTTATGGTGAAGGTTTTCTTTTCGATCTTGGTTGGCAGAAACATGTTTTGATACGAAACTATACCACAAATGTCAATTCCTATTGTAAGAGTGAAAAAAACGAAACCTAACTCACTGTTTGTATACCGTATTGACTTATAGCGCCATTTTATATTGTAATGGTCCCAATACAAAACCTAACCTACATTTCTTTACAATATATTAGTCTGTGATCATAGTTTATAATGTAGAGAACAGAATACGAAATCTAACCTAATTCACTTCTGCATACCGTATTGATCTGTGGCTATAATTTCTATTATAATTGGCCATTATATTACTACCTAACCGAATACGAAATACAAAATCATATCGAACCCTACTTTCTATATACTAATTAGTATGGGGTCGCTATTTCTAATGTAGAGGTCATAAAACTGAACCTAACCTAACCAACTTTTATACCTTATAGAATAGATCTGTGACCAAAATTTCTAGTGTAAAGAACATATAAATCATAACTGTATTTTTTACACGAACGATTATCATTTAGAATAGTCACCAAAGCAAGAATGAATTCCAAGATAGTCTCTTTAGCTGGTAATAAACCGTGGATATCATACAATGAAAGAAATGTATGGACAAATCTTATTGTCATTATTTACAATCTGAAAATTTTACACATTTTGCAATCTTCCAATTACAAAATCCAAAGACACAAATTATTCAGAACAGCATTCCTGAAAATAATTTCGACATCGAAAATGTTCAATATTTGTGTGAGTTTTTATGTCACAATCCAAAACTAATTTGATATTTGTGGTCACCTATACTAAGGTATAGGCGAAAAATTGACGTCTTCGGCCGCAGTATTGAATTTTTATTTTTTTTTATTTTGGCTTAGCTACCAGGGTGGCAAAAAAAACGTCCATACATTGTCAACTCCTTCTAATAGTTTAGTATAACCGATGTAACAACTTACATCGGTTTTCATAATAAAGATTTCCAAATAATTTTGATAAAAGCCTTAGGGTTATTATTTATCGTAGGTAATAAATAAATAAAAGGGCCTACGATAAATAATAACCACCCATCACTCTTTTAATTACAATATCATAAATAATAAAATCGGGGAAAGTTTTTAGCGCTGGCAATACTGAGATTCAATGCCATCCCATAAAAGCGGACTCGCTGCATAGTTACCATGTACCAAAATAAAAAAATCTTCCAAATTTTGTTCAAAGTCAACCTCGGCGGCCATCTTGGATTTTTCCATTTTGATACTTCTGACATATATATTACATGACGACAGATATATTTCGTCCATATGTTGTACAGAGACACGGTCCTTTTAGTGGGTCCTTAGTAAATATTACTTTCTACGAAAATCTATGCATGGTGTTGCCACCTAATTTTACAAAAATTTGCATAAAACTATTAAGATGAGATTTATTATAGATACCCGTCACTTTTATTTTTAAATTTCGAAAAAAAAATTCCCACAATTAAGGTTTGCAAAATTACCCAAAAATCGGGGAAAATTTGTAGCCTATATAATATACTTCACGTCTTTGCTCCATAGAAGTAACTTGCTGTAAGGAATAAAATAGTACCCCAAAAATGAGTTTTAAAACGTCCCTAAACTTGTCATCGGGAATAAAGTACCTAACTCGGCCGCCATCTTGAATTATTCCATTTTAAATAGTTTTAACATATACACCTTGGTGAGAAACATTTCGTCCATACATTGTACAGAGCCAAGGTAACTCCTTCTAGTAGTTCCTAAGTACTGTTTACAATGGAAATCTATGTATGGTGTTGCCAGCTCATTTTAACAAAAACCACCTAAGACCCCTTGGGGATTATTTTTGACAGATCGTCATCATTGTTTGATCTAAAACGATGAAACAAAAAATCCCACGTTTTTTTTACTTCTCTCCGATATTACCCTAAAATCGGGGAAAATTTTTAGACCAGATAGTGCTTCGTACCGAAAGTTTCCACTGTTCCATAAAAGTCAACTCGCTGCAGTGACGATGGGTACCTGAAAACTGAATTTAAAAAAGTACCCTAACTCGGCCGTCAGCTTGGATTTTTACTTCTTAATACTTTTGACGTATTCACCGTAGTAACAGAAACATTTCGTCCATACATTATGTAGAGCCTCGATGACTTCTTGTACTATTCCCTAAGAAAACTAATCTAAGGTGTTGCCAAATAATTCTGATAAAAACCACGAAAAACCCATAAGGGGATGATTTTTGACAGATATCCATCATTATTTTGTTTGAAATATCGAAAAAAAATTCCCACTTTTTTAGACTTGTCTTCTAAATTACCCCAAAATCGGGGAAAATTTTCATACCATTTTTCCTTTTTCATCCATATATTGTACAGAAACACGGTCCTTCTAATGGGTCCTAAGTAAATATTACTTTTTACGAAAATCGATGTATGGTGTTGCCACCTAATGTTACAAAAAATCGCATAAAACTATTAAGATGAGATTTATTATAGATCCCAATCACTCTTATATTTAGTATGTAAAAAAAATCCCACATTTTGGTTTTGCAAAATTACCCAAAAATCGGGGAAAATTTGTAGCCTAGGTAATATTTCAAACCGAAATCTATCATGGCTCTATAAAAGTCGACACGCTGCAAGGAAGCCAGGTACCCCAAAATGTATTCCTAAATTTATCATCAGAGATAAAATAGTCGAACTCGGCCGCCATCTTGGATTTTTCCTTTTTGAATACTTTTAACTTATCCACTTTGGCGACTGAAACATTTTGTCCATACATTGTACAGAGCTAAGGTGACTCCTTCTAGTAGTTTCTTAGTACTGTTTACTATGAAAATTAGTTAATACTTCGCACCGAGAGTTTCCATTCCTCAATACAAGTCAATTCGTTGCAGGGATGATAGGTGCCACAAAACTGAATTTTAAAAAGTTCTTAAAATTGTCATCATAGATACAGTATCCTAATTCGGCCGCCATCTTGGATTTTTCCTATTTAAATACTTTTAACATATACACAGAGCCCGGGTTACATACACCTAGGAGTTCCTTAGTACGGTTTAGTATGAAAATCGATGTATGGTGTTGCCAGGAGATTTTGACAAAAACCACCTAGGACCCTTTGGGGGATGATTTTGGACCAACGCTCATAACTGTTTTGTTCAACTTAACGAAAAAAAAATTTCCCACGTTTTTTTACTTTTCTCCGAAATTACCCCAAAATCGGGGAAAATTTTTAGACCAGGTAAAATTTTCCACCGAGAGTTTCCATTGCTCTATAGAAGTCAACTCGCTGCAGGGATAAATGGTACCCCAAAATTGAATTTTAAAAAGTCCCTAAAATTGTCAACATAAATTAAGTACCCTAACTCGGCCGCCATCTTAGATTTTTACTTTTTAATACTTTTGACGTATTCACCGTAGTGACAGAAACATTTCGTTCTGACAAAAACCACCTAAAATCAATAGGGGGATTGTTTTTGACAGATTTTCATCATTCTTTTGTTTGAAATGTCCAAAAAACATTTTCCCCCTTTTTAGGACCTATCTCAAAAATTACCCTAAAATCGGGGAAAATTTTTATACCAGGTATTACTTTGTATGGAGACACATCATCTCTCCATAGAAGTCGACTCTCTGCGGGGTTGCCAAGTGTCCTAAAACAACATTTAAAAATGTCCCAAATTTTCTCCGAAAAGCAAAACTCCCCTATCTGTGCCGCCATCTTGGATTTCTAAAATTTCATAATTTTCCCTAGAGGCCGGGTTCTTCGGCTATCCGACGCCGCACAGTGCGTTGAGCTAGCATACTCGTAGGTACCCTATCAATTTCAGTTTTTGAAGCTAGACCTCAATTTCAAAATTTGTCCGATGATGTATGGGTGTTGCCAGCAAATTCTGAAAAAATCCACCTAAAACCCTTCAGGGG